CATGCTAGCTGCCCAACTGCTGCCCTGTTGTGAAGCCACTGGCCCTCTGCCGACCTCCTTCATCTCCTCGTCCAGTTTCCGCTGCTCCAGCGCTTCCTTCTCGGCCCGCTTCCTGTGCTCTTTCTCCACCTTGTCGTACTTTTTCCAGTAGAGCATCATCTCCTTGGTGAGGCGGCGGGCACGGGGCAGCGTCTCCTTGCAGTTCTTCTGTGCCTGGATGGCGGCGCGCCGGACCTCCCGCATGCACTGGTGGGCCAACTGAAGATGGGCCAAAAGGAAAAAAAAGAGCAAACATGTTCTTGGGAGGTTCATCAGAACACATCTGCAAGGTGTATCGGACTTACCTTTTTAGCATTGGTCAACACCAGGTTCTTAGCGGATGTTTTCTGCTTGAAAGACTGCCAAAGGGAGCAAGAAACCTTTTAATTGTGCTTTTGAAGGTGACATATGTTGGGACTTTTTAAATTGTATACAAATAGATGAGCCTTCCTAACCTTGGGGATCTCCTTCTTGGCAATAGTGAGCCACACTTTGCGTCGACGCACATTCAGCTGCTCCACACTCAGGTGCTTCTTCTTCAGTATGGGCAACGGCGCATCCTGTGAGAACTTGGCGAAGGTCTTGGCCACGTAAGGGAGACCCTCGTCCGAAAAGTCACCCTCGCCACGTTTCTTCTTCTTCTTCACTTTCTTCAGCTTGGCTGCGGAGAAAAACAGGTAATGTGAACAGATGATCAGGATAATGTGAATTGATTGTTTTACCCTTGAATTTTTTCTCCTCTTTGATTTTCTTCTTCTTTGGCCCCATGAGGTGGCGCTGTTGCTCATAGAAGAGGTCTTGACTTGAAAGCAGGCCCGTACTGTAGAACTGGTAGTGCTGAAGCTGCAGCACAATCAGTTGGAAAAATGTCAAGTCAATGCCGCATTCAACAAAAATGGGAATTTGGAATTTTAGCCAATTTCCGATGTGGAACTTCCTATGTCCTAATTTTCCCTTATGCCACAGTGGCATTTCGGGTTACCTCGCGGTCCGTGTGAAATTTGTTCTGGTGCTGCCTGGTGTAGCGGTGAAGCCTCAGCATGTCGTGCAACTCGTCACGCGACATACTGAAGTCCGAGTCGTCCGAGTCCGTGTCCGAGTCGGTGGTGTTGTCGCTCAACAACAGGCTCTGAGAAATGAGGAGGAGTAATTTAGGAAGGGTGCATTCGGACAAAATCGTGCATCATATGCATCACCTTCAACCATTTCCGGTTCTTCTTCATTTTAGAGAAATTGTACAGGTTAGCATTGTCCGTCTTTTGGTCTACAGAAATGAAAAATCACATTTAATGTTATGAGTGGACACTTGAGGGGGACGTCTCACGGCTTTACCTTGCAGAAGAACGCCATTGAGGGGCTTGCCTTCGACAAAGGCCTCCCCTTGGTCACATGGCTCCCTCTTCACCATCAAGGGTTCGATGGAGAGCCCGGAGCCCAAAGCGTCATCGCTGTCGTCGCTGTCATCGCTGGAAAAGTCACAAATGTGGAAATACACTCAGAGTGTACACTAGTATGTACATAAAAGGATTATTTCACTAAAATATTGTTGTCTGTCTGACTTTCTGTGAATGACCACTTCTCCTTTGCTGAGATGATCCATCCACCTTACAAGTGTACCATCTCAAGCTGCTGATTGGACAGCACAATTATTGCCGGACAGACCGGGAGAATTATTCTTGCCTTGAGTTCTTATGAAGCTTGCGTTGTGGAACATGCCTTGCCGTCTATTGAACCCTTTTTACACAACTTACAAAATGCATGCTTTTGTACAAAAGAGGTGTGAGAGGATGTCCAAATACGATCACAATATTTCGAGAAAAGAAATGGTTAAATGACAGCAGTATAGTATAGAAGACTTGTTTGGCAGTACCTAGTGACATCTCTGTTGAAGATGGTGGCCGTCTGGTGCAGAAAGCTTTCCAGTCTGAGGGAGCGCTCCAAGCGTTGCAGGTAGAGAGGTTTGGCCAGGCCCGTCGAGCCACCCGCCGCAACGGCCGGCTCGGGCCGCCCGCCCTGCCCCGATGCCATGCAGTCCGGACACGCCCACCCGCCCGGCCGGGCAGGGATTTTTACTGAAAGGGGTGGCAATGAAGGGCACAGGGTAATTATGGTTCCTTATTCATTCAAAAAATTAAATGCAACTTCAAAACACTAAGAACTCTATTGTGGGCCTACCTCCTCTGTAAGTGCCTTCATTATCCTCGGTTGCAGGATTTTTTTTGTATACACAGAACCCTAAAAAAAAAAAAAATCATGTATGATCATTCCGTGTCAAAAAGAATTTAAAAAAAAGTCATCCACTTCACGGTTTATGGTAGGTTTGTCTCATTAGTTCTCAATTAAAAAAAAAAAAAAAAACAACATTTATTTTGTCCATGATTTGTTTATGTATTTATGTTAGTAATTTGTTGAGGACACGTATGTTCTTTTTCACAAAAGAAAAGCAAGGTGTCAATGTTGATGGTCTGAATCAGTGATTCTGGGTCAGACTCAGGACCCAAAAATGGGAAGTGGACCTATTTTGGCTAGCTTAAAAACAAACAAACGAAAAAGACAAGGGGTCTTTTTAAGACCAAAAATACAACAATATCACTTATGAATGACACACGTGGAAAAAATAGCTAAATATTATGAAAAAAAATGGAACTCCTGTATAGTGGATGAAAAATATTAAGAATTTTATTCAGCTAAAACTGCTATACAGTACTAGACATTAGTGCATGACAGTGGCCACAAAAAAATATTTAAAACATTTCTGACATGTTACAGACCAAACAAAGACCTGAATCATAATTAATGTTGTCTGCACTGTCAATGTGAAATAATGTCCTGTTTTAAAATAAAGGATTTATTGTTAGTTGCAACCCTAACAAAAACATTCAATGAAAAATGCATATTGACTTTTCTAATAGAAAAATATGAGGGGAAGAAACAAACAAACAAACGTATTTGGAAAATATGAAAGAAGAGTGTGAAGATCCATTCATCGGTTCATTTTCTTTGTCGCTTGTCTGCATTAACGTCCCAGGTGATCTGGAGCCTATGCCAGCTGACTTTTGAGGAGGCGGGTTACACCCTGAACTGGTCTCCAGCCAATCGAAAGGGACATGTAGATAAACAATCACAAGACACCTATTGAATTTTTACAAACTTGAATGCACGTGTGGGAGGAGAATCCCCACATAAGCACGAGGAGAAGATGAACACTTCACACAGGAAGTACTGAGATTCGAACCCCGAACCTTAAGACTGTGAGGCAGACTTGCTTCCCTCATTTGAGAAACACCAAATTCACAGTTTCACTTACTCCCTGCCACGTAAATTGAGAATATATATCAAAAATGGTCCTAAACTTGAGTGAAACTTGTCAATTGTCATCCAGTTGTGGTTAGCTTGCCAAGTTAGCCTATGCAAGCTAGTTGGCTAACCTTGAACGTTGAACTGTCTGCTGGACGGTTAGCTTGGAATGTCGCAAAAAGCTAAGGCGGCTTAGATGCTAACAGTTAGCCGCATCGCATCACAGCAACTTCAGTTGAAGGGCGATGCTATCAGTTCACCTTACAGGGGGGTGGATCGTATTTTATAGCCCGGGTGGGGTGGACTTTGGGCCGGTGTGGTTGATAACTAGCGCCGTATTAGCTTTAGCTTTAGGGATGCTAACGGAGGTTTTGACAGTCTTCACATAACATTACAGTAATATGAAGTGAACACAACCGCGCTGTCTCTTTAAGGCCGCAACCACCTCCTCTGCTTTAACTATATATTAAGATACTGCTTTAATGACTTTAATTGTCTAGCCCGCTGGTCGGGGGAGGCGGCAAGGCCCTAACCGGCCCGCCCGCGCCTCCAGTGTCCTTGTAGGGGGAAGTTCAAGTCGTGGTCGTGTGTGCTCCCCGTGATTTTAATTCTTTTCTCCCTCCCGGCCATCTTCCCCTCACCATTGCTCCTTCGCCGTAACAGTGTCTCTCACCTCGACCCCCCCGTGTGGCCCCTTTCGCGTGTCTCTCGCCGCTGCTGCCGACTCTCGGTTCCCTGACTCCAAAATGGCGGTTAAAGGCGCCGAGTGAGTCTGAGCTTTGAGTCTGCAGCGGCGGCGGAGAGGCGGCCACTTTCTGTTACTGAGAGAGCACAGAGACACGACGCCATGGAGGCAAAAGCAAGGAGCAGGCTTTGAAATCGAGCGTCGAGCAACTGACTCGCGCTTTTCGGCGTGTCCGATGGCGAGACGTTGACATATAAATCACACGACACATAAAAATTAGTCTGAAAGTGTTAATGAGTGATTTTATGGCGTGTCGAGACGGTAAATTGAAGATACCGCGGCAGATATGAGACTTTCCGGTGTTGATTAGTAGTGTCTGCCCTCTGCGACGGTTACCGAGCTACGTCGTACGTCATCGTGAGGAAATTCCATATATGGAATGACCAAGTACAAAGGACTGTTACGTAATTATAAAACACATTGATGTCATAAACGTGAAATAAGACGCGTATTTAATAACTGTGGTCAAACATGTTTTTTCCTATTGTTTTGTAATTGTTATAAGTTTGCCCTTACAAATATTCTGCAAGCATGGATTTTTTTAAAAATTGCATGTTAATATATATAATAATTAAATCCAGTGCATCATTTAATCTCATAATTGAGTTTTTACCTTGACAGTATGGATGAAGTAAAAACCTAACTGTGTTATACATACATTATTTTTGTAATGTTATATAAATCCATCCATCAATGAATTGTTAGTTTTTCCCTCAATATATCATGATTTATATGAAATGAATGCACATTCCAGTGTGGGACAAATAAAGGATATCTTATCTTATCTTATACAGCGCATTTGACAATAAAGTCGTACTTGACTTGACTTGAATGTCATTTTCTTATTTATTGTCCATGGTCATTTATTAATAACATTTAAAATAGTAGTTTATAAAAACTAAGACAGGCCAGAGCAGGATCAAAGTGACAAAGCATTATATTAATGGGTTTTATTTATTTTCCATGGTTTAGTTAAGAGAGACTGAGCAGGAAATATATACCATTGGACATATAAATGCAGGCTATGTCAGAACAAGCAGGTTACAGAACATGGCAATAAACACTGCATGATGCATATTTACTGCCACTGGCTGGGAACCAGTTCAGGGTGTACCCCGCCGACTACCTGAGGACAGCTGGCATAGGCTCCAGCACGCCCGTGACCCTTGGGAGGATAAGTGGATTAGAAACTGGGTGGACGGTTGAAGCATATTTAATCCTAATCTTGAAACTTTTGATTCAGATGTGTGTATGTGTTGGGAACCAGTTTACATGATCTTATGTAATTCAGAAGTGTAAAAATATTCCAAATCTGCCTCAAACAGAAAAAGCTGACACTATACTCAGTAGTGGTCATGGATCAGGCACATGCAACCGGACAAACGTCTCAATCTGCTACATCCAGCACAAGTCCAGTTTGTTCACAGCCAGCTGGATTTTTCCTCCTCGAACTTCTTCGGATCGATGAAGGGTTTGTCCACAGACCTAATCATCAGTTCGCCGCAGTACACACATTCGGAAGCCACCATGTCGTCCAGGTCGGATTTCATCTGCTCGCGACTGGCGCCTCCCTTCCCGAGGCTAGTCGCGTCACCCTCCTCATTAGGCGTAGGCCGGTGTCGCGACTTGGACGCCTGCGTGGAGGCTGAGAGTTTCTTCTGCAGCTCGTCCAAACGACTCAACTTGTAGGCAGACAGGTGAGGCGTCACTTCCTGGAGGGTGGAAAATGTCAAAATGTTATCACCCGTATATGTCCGAGATACTTTGACGGTCATATGTTGTACGGTTATACCTGCAGGAGGCAGTCAGAGTGGAACATGTGTCCACACAGGAACAAATAAAAAGGCCTGTTGAGCAATGGAAAGTCGCAAGCCGAACACTTGTCCTGGGAGTCCACCACGCCGTACTTGTTGCGCATTTCCTGGATGTCCTCTCGGATGCGTTTGGCACTCTCAGTGGCCTCCTCCATTTCCTGCTTCAGCTCCTCGATGTGCTTGTTGTACTCCTCCAGGGAGCTGCAGATGGCCTCCTGAAAGCCACAAACAGACCAAGAGGTAACATCACGTTTTCAAGTGGTTTCCCAACCTTTATTGCGCCCCGGCACACATTTTACATGACTGCTCTTGTTCAGTGAGTTGAATACAATGCCAACAAACTGTGCTTGTTTCTCAAACTTTTGCTTCCCTAACAGTTGGCCCTTGTGAAAATCCCCCCAAAACGATGGCTTTAAAATAATGCAACACTGTACCCTCAACTAGTACAGCAGAACAAAACAGTAAAGCTGGAACCTCCGTTACCGACCTTAAAGTGGTCAATGGTGACAAAGTCGGGAAAGAAAGGCAGGATGTCCTCAATCTTGAGCAGGTCACAGCTGGACAAGCAGTTCATGGCCTTTTTCACATCCTTCTCCTCCTGCACCACATGGCGGGCGATCTTCAGCCACAGCTTCTTCCGCAGCTCTTCATCATCGTCGGGCAGGTCCGCGCAGCTCTTAGCCAAATCCACATCCACCTGCGGACGACGCGTTATCGACCAAGCAATAGCTCCTTATTCGTAAGCTGGTGCATTCACAAGTGCCGATTTAACTTACTTGCAAAGCGAGATCCACCGCCTCCTCGTACAGCTCCATAATCCTGTACACCAGCACACAGGCGCGCAGGTAGCCATGTTCGGCGCACAGCCTGAGTGCGTACTTCAGGTCGTAGTGGATCTCCGAGGCGTACGTGCCCGCCTCCTCCAAGTAGCGCAGCAGCGAGTCGGGCTTGTACTTGGCGTAGAGCGACAGCAGGTAGTTGTGGATGGCCTCCTCCGTCACGTGCAGCTCGTGCACGCAGAACTCCATATAGCGCACCGTCTCGTTGATCTGCTGGCTACTTCCCTTGTGGCTGTAGTTCATCAGCGCCGGGATGAGCTGCTTGGGGTCCAGCCGCTTGCCCATTTGGATCCAGGCGTCCACCACCCTCTCGGGGATGTGCTGCATGAGCACCGGGGAGAACTTGTAGAAGAGTTTCTCGTCGCGGTGCTTGGCAAGTACGTCCAGAGCGGCGCAGTAGTCGTCATGCTGGCAGTAGTGCGACACCACCCTCTCGTAGTCCTGCATGACCACCGAGAAGTACACCATGTCATCCACGTTGCCGTGGCTGGCCAGCAGGTCGTAGATGGTGCCGCGGTTGTTGAACAGGCACTCGCGGTGCTTGGAGGTGTTCAGGAAGTGGCGGAACTCGTCGCGGGTCTCCCGGAAGAGGACGCCCGCCTTGCCGTCGTCGTCCTCCAGCTGGCCCAGCCTGTTCAAGTAGAGCTCGGCCAGCCAGGTGACGAGCAAGGTGATCTGCGTCCTCTCGTTCGGCTTCAGATTGGTCAGCTTCTTTATCAAGAATTCCTTAAGGGCCTCCTCCTGCTTGGCCTCAATAAACTTGAGCGCAATCTCCTCAAAGTAGTTCTGCGTCAGGGCGTAGCACTTGGCACTCTCCAGGTAGCGCTTGTTCTGGAAGCAGTGCTCGGCCTCCTTGGCAAGGACCATGTCCATGCATTCGGGCCGCTCGCGGCAGTACTCCTTGGCCAGGTCGAATTTGTTCATGTTCATGTACATCTGCCACACGTCGCGGGACTCGCGCTGGATGTGGTAGCGGAACACGGCTCGCTCCGTGTAGATCCACACCAGGCCGCCCGACGGGTCCTTGATCATTCTCTTGAGAGGGCCGAACTTGTCCGGGAACACGTCCTCATGAACCACCTGACCGTTCAGCGTGCAGATCGCCTTGACCCGGTCGTGCAGCAACAGCAGGAAGTGGAACTGGGTCAGCACAATGGAGATGGGCTTGTTGAGGGACAGGTCGATGTCGGTCGTGTACTCCCACACCTAATGAACACAGCATGAGAGCAGTAGTTGATGATTTAGATTCAGAGGTTCAAACATAATCCCATAGAAAATGGTCAACAATTACCTGCACGTCACTCAACAGCGAGTCAGGCCTAACATAATCCAGCTGCCCATAGAGCACCCCGTTGCCCATCATCCAGGCAAAGGCCTTGGGGGAAGTGCGAAGCTTGGAGGTGTAGAAGGTGATCTCGCTGTAGCCCATGTTGACCGGGAACTCCTGAAAGCTGGGCAACAGGTCCTGGTTCTGGATGAAGATCGAGCTGAAGCCCTGCTGCTCCGTCCCCTCAGCCACCTTGCCCGCAAACTGGAAGAGGCGCTTGCGGGTGGTGGCAATGATGAAATACTTGTTCTCCAGGCCGCGCTCCACCTCCAGGCAGCACACAGGTGCCGGACTCCCGTCTTCCTCCAGGGAGTGGACCTGAAATAATATTACAGTCAAGCCCCGCTATACACAAACAAATAAATGAAGGTGACAGGTTGCTTCCTCTGACTGGCAGAAAGGTAGCCGACTATTTCTGACCGTAACTGGTTGTTTTTGTTTTTTTTTTTTTACTTTTCCCCCCCATAATAGCCGAATCAAAATGAATCCAGGGGAACTTTTATTTTCACTGTCAAACAGTAGCACTTCAACTTGAAATGACATAGAAACAGCTCGAAGCAAACACGCTTGACCTCTTATTTGGATAATTACGCAAGGAAGAGAGTGAGAACAGACACTAACAAATACTTAAAAAGTGTGTTCAAAGAATGTGGGACGGGTAGTACTATACTAAAAGTATTTTTTTATATAGGCTCTCTATATTGGGTCTGGAACGTAACCTCCTTGGGTTCACTGTATCGATTTACAATAAAATCTTTGTAGCCCAAACGCAGTGATGAAGACATACTTGTCTGAAGTACTGGTCCGGGTTGGTGTTAAAGAGGCTCCCCTCGGTGGCAGAGATCTCGGCCTCGAAGATGACACCTTGGCCAGTGCCCACCAAGATTGGCCCCGTGCTGGTCTCATTGCCTAGCAGCTTGTTCCAGCCAATGCTCTCCACGAGGTGGCCCCGCCAGCGAGACAGACTGCGAACCTTTTGCGTATTCCTGTTCAGGTACAGACACTCACTGGTGCTCAAGCTGATCACCAAGTGGGAGCCTAAATAAAAAAAGAAAAGAGAAACATGTGGGAGAAGACAGGGATGTTGTTGGGGTTGGCCTTTTCCATCCCCCATCGTCACAGTATGTTTCTAATGGTAAACAAGACACCCGGTTGTGATAATAGTTGTCCTTTTACAAAGTCACAGAACGAGATTCTCGAAAAAAAATGTCATGTTTTATGTCTTGTGTACGTCTGGGTCTGGTGTCCGAAGACAACACGAGAACATTAACTTGCATTTCATGAAAATGTATACCATGGAAAAGTAAATGTACACCATTTTGGGGAAGATCGCCACAGTATTGTCTTACCTGTCGGGTCCAGGAAAAGTTTGTGCACTTTGCTGTCATCTTTCCTTCCAAGATCAATCTGATTGGGGTGATCAGGTTTAGCCAAATCAATCCTGCATAGAACACAAAGAAAACATTCCAATCAGCGTCTTTCATCTCTCAAGAACTCTTGAAAGGCCCCAATAAACATCTATGACTGGACTAATCACATCTTGTCACTGACTCCTCAACTAATCCAATCAAAGAGGACTGCACTAGCGTGCATTTAGAGTAGCTGTTTATGATTGTTATTTGCCTCAGCAGGGTGTCCTTCCCCAGACTCATGCATAGTTGATTGTTGCAGACTGCTAGGTGATTTATCCTCTCGGGCGGTGTAAAATCGATCCTCTGCTTGTTGAAAATAGGCTTTTCCTCTTCGAGTCGCACATTGACGAAGCCTGACGGGAAAACAGTGGATTTATTACAGAGTATTATATCACAATCATCAAATCACTCCTGGTTGCTTCCCCATCTTACCTGAGTGTGTTATCCCGATGTTGGCGCTTGCCAGGCGACCATGCTGCTGCGCGTTTTGCCTGCTGTTTTGCGAATCCTCGTACTCGTCCAATATTGAAGCCATAGTTACGTGGAATTTTATTTAGAATCAGTGAAGGAAGAAGCTAGACAACTAAAGCGACATGGCTGTGCAGCTAGCCTTCTACTTAGCTAGCAGTTGGCTCTCGTAAACAGGCTTCTCGTGACTCGTTCGCCCATTTCCAATCATAACATTGGCTTATTTTAGACGTTCCTAAGATATTTTGAAATTAAATTCACCATAGAAAGTGGTTCGCTTCAAACCGTGGTATGAATGAGGAGTACCTGTATAGCTAGCTAGCAGGTTGCTCCCGGAAAAGAACTCGTACGACGTACTTCCTCGTTTCATTTGCAGGTTATAGACGTTTAAATATCAATATCCGATAACTAAACATTCAAAAGCCATCTAATGGTTTGTACCGAAGCTGACTAAAAGGGCGTAAATAGGGAGCAAGTCAGGTGACGGTCCTCATGTGATCGTCGTCGTAGATTCATGCAATGCCTCATTCCGACATTGGGGGTCGCTGTCGTAACAACGACCGATTTAGCTTCAGGCTTTCTCGCAGTGGGCGTGATTATGTAAATTTATGTTAAATATTTAAATTACAGACTGCCTGCACTTATTTCAGAACTATACTTTAATGTTAATACATTTCAAATATGAAACTATAATCAGAAAAATATGTCAGCATCGTTGAGGAAGACAAAATCAATTCTAACTTCCGCCTTTCTCTCAGTGGTCGTGGTTATGAAAATGACAACCTGTCAAAGCATAAAGTTGCATAAACTACACATGAAAAAAACAAACGTCATACGTGTTGTCAACGTGTGTCATATGATCAGGAATATGAAAAACCTAATTGAGGTAGTGAGCCTTACCGACGGTGGGCGTCGCTGTTGGATCAACAATCACCTAAAAAGTTTCGCCTTTCCCTTACTGGGCGTGGTTATTCAAATTAAAAGCTCCGGGAGTGTGAAATTATCTGAATATATAAAAAAACGCCCATTCCTTGTCGAGTCATACCACAGAAGACAGTAAAGACAACACCCGATGGTGAGAGTCACGACTGGACGGTGAAAAGCAAAGAGTTTACGACGCGACATGCCACCTCACATGGAGTACTTTTACCACGAATCCCGTGTCCCCTCCGGTTGCGGACTGACCCGGGAGGACGAGCTGGAGCCGGGCGTCATCAGTTGCATGCTGGTGGGCGACGGCGCCGTGGGCAAGACCAGCATGATAGTCAGTTACACTTCCAATGGATACCCGGTGGACTACAAGCAGACCGGTTTTGACGTCTTTTCAGGTAAAGGATTTATTCATTAAACTACAATAAGATATGAAATAGTGTCAACAACTATTTTAAGTCATTGTCGTTTTTTCCGTATGCGGAATTGATTTTAAGGATAGATAGAAGCACAGGTAAAAGCTACTGGCTGATGCACTTCCGATGTGTGGGGGAGCTGGTAAATGCAAGTGCAATATTTAAAAAAAAAAAATTTGATCTTTATATATATAAATACATTTAAAATTTAAGAATCTCCACATATAAGTAATGTAAAGAAATAAATAAACGTATTTACTGGTTTCCAACAGGTCAGGTCCAAGTGGATGGATCTCCAGTCAGAGTCCAGCTGGTGGACACTGCAGGACAGGTAAATCTTTTAAGCTTGTTATTATTTATTATTACTATTATTGTTGATCTATATTATTTGTCAGACTCAGAATTGTACTTGACTTCCTTTAGGGATTCACAGGTAGTCAATATTCACATTATTATGACAATTAGTAGTGCTCTAAATAAATACCGGTAGCCAATATGATACCTTGTTGTCATATTCATTCAACCTTGTACCAATTTCCCTCCATGGGGGTGTATCTACTGCGACAATCTTGTGCTCTCACGTCACTCTTTGCATGCTATCAATTTTGCCTTTATGTGACAACAAAAAACTGTCTGTCGCATTTTTTTTTGTTTTGTTTTGTTTTAAGCAGTTTTTGTGGCTTTTTACAGTAAGTTTGCGAATCCCTGCTGTCAGTCATCTTTTGCAGTCCAATTCCATTGATTCACGTTCTCTGGGCCTTTTCAGGAGGAGTTTGATGAGTTCCGATCGCTGTCCTACTCGCACACGGACGTCTTCCTGCTGTGCTTCAGCATGGTCAACCCCACTTCCTTCCACAACATCACCAAGAAGTGGGTGCCCGAGATCCGTTCCTCCAACCCCACCTCGCCCATTGTCTTGGTGGGCACACAGTCGGACCTCCTGTTGGATGTCAATGTGCTCATTGGCCTGGACCGCGCCAGCGTCAAGCCCGTGGCCAGCTCACGGGCGCGAGGGATGGCGGAGAAGATCCGAGCGGAGGATTACGTGGAGTGCTCGTCGCTCACGCAAAAGAACCTGAAGGAGGCGTTTGACGCCGCCATCTTCGCCGCCATCAAGAACAAGGCACGGCAGGCCAAGAAAAGGCGGTCGTCGGACAGGCGCGCCAAGGCCTTCTCCAGGTGCAGCTGGAAGAAGTTCTTCTGCTTCGTCTGAGTCGGCCGGGACTGTGGACATGAGTTCTGACCTTATGTGCAGCGTTTGTCGGTACAAGTGACATTCAGGATATGGCATCGGGAGAAGGTTTTGTGGAGCCCCACCGACAAAGGACTGTGTCTTGTTTACGTCTATTTGGCTCGGAATACGTAGGTACACGAACCAACACCCTACCAATGGTTCTTCTGGTGTACCTGTTACATTGGAAAATGTGTAAATAAGTTATCGAGCTGCAAATTGGACGGAAAGCTTTTTGAGCATTTATTCAGTATCCTCGATATCCAGATCCATGTGCTAGTACGCTCTCAATAGAAAGACAATTCAGTCTCATGGCAAGGACACACTCGTAAAATGAGTGTGCCTTATTTGAAGACAAAAACTGCGCTTCTTGACAATCGCGTGCTGCCGGTACAAGTGACGTAAAAGTCAAGTTTCAAAAGTTTGCATCTTGTGCTTCACTACAAGTACTAGTCGCACACAGATGTCAAGTATTGTAGAGTTTTGCCTCACTTATAACATCTAGCTGTCCTATTAGCATGCCCAAGTTGTACGACTCGTGTGTAGAAAAGTCGTACATCAGTGGAAGGCAGAGTGAAAAAACACTGCAGTGCTAAGTGAGTTGCTTTGCAAGTGCAAGTTTACGACGGCTCGCGAGGGCCAAGAGCATATAAGAGCGACATCAAACGGCTTTCCATCGGTATGCGTTGGACGTGTTGGCAGACATGTATTTTACCTCAATCTGGAGTCAGGCAGATTTACGCAATCCAGGGGTGGGGTGTGGGGGGTCTTTGGTTTACAACAGTTCTGTTGCCATGGCGGTGAGGTAACCTGAATTTGTACGGAAGTCGGGACCCATCACTAACCTATGCTAACACAATCGTTAAGTTATCACTCAAGTCGATATATGTACCGTAGATGTGTGCAAAACACTTTTAAACCCAATTTCATGAGATTTAACAACGACTTTGTATCGATATTGGAGTGTGCCGTACTCTTATCACTAACCAAGAAGTCAGTCATAATTTCAACAAATATTGGGTACCCTCGTACGATTTCCTCTCACACGATGCAAACATTCAGACTGTACGGCTATTTTGTTGAGCAGGGACAACATGCAAATGACCTCAATTTGCATGATCGTTTGTGTGTGTGCGGTGAAACAGAGAGGGTGTGAAGCAGTTTCAGCACACAGGCGTCAGTAAGCGCTGCTCTTTTGTTGTTTTTGTTTTAAACGCGTTAACCTCCGCGTCAGGTTGTGGTGCAAAAAAGCGAGGTGCCACATTCTTACCTGAGTGCTAAAAGGCCGCTGCCCGGACTGGTTTTCGTGCCTTAATTATGTGACGCTGACCTTTTGTAATGTTGCGAAAAGGAACGCACGTACCGCATCGCTTTGACTCAGCTACAAGAGCAGGAAACAGGTTACAGGAGAGCAGTCAGCGTTGACCTTCAGCCCTCTCAATGACTATCACTCGAGATTCATTCGATCGCGGTTGTCAAGCTCAACCTTTGTCGCCAGCCATTTTGGAAGTGTGGTTTCCCTAAAACAAAAAACAAATAAACATCAATGAACAATCACACAGTGATTACCTGCCCCGAATGTAAAACAAATGAGTGATATTTTGCACTCCAGTCTAATCATAACATGACATGTTGATATTCTTGATTAGAACTGGATGTTTATTATGCTTCTTGTGGAAGTGGCCTGAATGAATTCTGTTTGTTCAAACAACTGTGGATTTTCAATGTAAATGTTTTTTTTTCCTTCTTTTGTATCACTTAAGTGCTATTGTGTCGCACTCTCCTCTAACCCACGTGTCTTTTTATTTACATGTCAGAGCGATGTGACGCAAATAAATGAAGTGCAAATTACAGCCTCTGTGTTATGTATATTTTTAGACGGGACAATTCACGAACAGCTAATAAGAGAAGCTGCTTTACTACCAGGAAAAACTTTTTTTTCTTTTTGGGGGAGGAGGACCACAGGAACTGAGGCAGCAATTTCTCCTCTCCGCAGGGGAGTTGGGATAATGTCCATAGGCTACAATAGTCACCTTTCCTGCACCGTCTCCCACCCCCAAGCGTGTGATAATTAACCTCAGGCCTCCAGTCGGGCCCTGGTGAGGGGGGCGAGCCTTTCTAATGTGTGACCGCGCCATGCTGGGATGGCTTTTTGTTCCTGATTGTGTCACTTGGAAAAGTCTCGAGATGAGTTTGAGAAAGATCCACGAGCCAGGGTGATTGATGATAATCCACACGCAGGGAGGTGTGTGTGTGTTTGTGCGGATGCTTGGCCCACGAGGCTGGAAAGATGCGACGAGAAAAGTTCGTAGCGTAACAACATTGGAGCGTTTGCCCACAAATTAAAAAAAAAAAATGCATGGCAGTCAAGTAGTTACATAGCAGGCGCGTGAAAATTATCTCGGTGTGCCAGATCGTAGTTATGTCTACGTTGTCATGAGGGAATGACGTAATTAACTCGAACCATGTGATTATTATTACTTTCGAAAATCCCCACAAACTGATAGTTAAATGGTTGTGAAGTGACGACATTCGCTGTTGTTTTCGTTTTTTTTCAAACAGGGTTTAGTTTTGAGCTTCCGTCTTCTCGAAATGAACTCGGCTCACTCACATCCAACAACGAGGCGCTCTAAAGTGGCCACGCCAGCGGACTATCCAAAGCGAAGACGCATTTTCAGGTTGCGGGCATAGCTAGCTAGCTCACCGCACATCGCAGATTATTGTACCTTTTTTAAGTGACCAGTAGCGGTAATTGCAGTACAACTTTAGGTGTGCAATTAGATAAAGTCCTGTATTCGGAAGCAAACCTCAGAAGTCACTTTACAGGAACTTTAAATACACTGTGCGCCGATTCCATTTCCTGGAAACCACATGAAGGCTGCGGATTTCAGTTGGGACGTCCACTCGGCAGCACGTTTTCAAACGCTCTCTCTTTTGTGATCTGCTGCACATTTTCTGTGAACAGGTCGAACAGGGGGGAAAAAAAACACAGCAATACGTCAGCGGTCTGTTTGCCATTAGAGTCAAGCATCCATCACGCGGTTACGAGGCAACTCCCGTCTTTCAATGACTGCTACCGGACAGGTCCCGAAATGAGAATCAAGACATGCACACCCTGGTTAGTTTTGCTTGTGTTGCTTCATCTCCATCGAGGACTTGACAAGAACTGTTCTCGACATGGAACATTTTTTTTTGTGTAGAGGGCACTTTAAAGTGTGGATAATGCTAACGATAAGGTGTGCACAGTGAGGGGCGTGCAGGGTTGACGTGCGGGTCAGCGGTGTGCTGAACCTCGGAGGGTCAAGACTAGCTGTCAGACTCCTCTTCACAAATGCACTTATTATTATTTATGGGACTAAAGTCATTTTTATGGTCTTCTGTTCAAAGCACAGATGCTCTTGCCAAACATCAAAAGGGGAAAATTCTCCACTTTTGAATGATGTGTTCAAACAAGCGAGAGGGCCTTGTTGTTGTTGGACCAGTTTTTGGTTCTCAGAGACCCAGATCAACTCTCCTTCTTATGGGTTAGTCATCTGTTTTTCACACCGGGAGCTGGTTCTTTTCCCAGGCTTTTCCAGGTTTTTGCATCAGGAGTCATTCACCGAGTCGTCCTCTGGCAGCCAGCCAGTTTCACTTGAGTGAAATGCTTGGCAAGCAGGCAGGCCTGGTAATCAGCAGGTGCACCGACAGGTCTGCCTGGCTCTGTGGTTCTTTCAAAACCGACCATTGTTATCGCCGCTAAACACAAATCCCACCACCCGAAAGGTATAATAGTGTAGCTGATCTGTGTCTGAGAATATATTTCGTTCCATGACTGAAGAAGCCATTAAAAAATTTGGGTTAAGTCATTTTAATAACGACAACAAAAAAATAAGTAGCGTCAACAAGAGTCAGGTTGTCCAGTTAGTCAGCGTGTGAGCATCTAGTCGTGAGTTGTGGCCCACAGCAGCTCCTTGCAAGTGTTCTCATTTCATGCTTGTGTCTTTGCCTGTTGAATAAAAAGACTTAAACTGCAATACTGACTGCAGACCTCGGTAGAGTGCCTTAATTGCTCTGGGTTTTTTTCCCACCTACTTCACTCAAGCGGCAAATTTTGGCTCACAAGACAAAGCGAAAAAAAATAATGATAATCTGTTGGTGTTGCCATCATTTTTTGCAAGCAAACTGTCAGTTTCGGTGTTGAGTCACTGAGATATGTCCTTGACTGACAGCGCCCGGGGGCAACCTAATTTCTACTTAACATTTATTAGAGGAATTAATTTTCTCTTCTTGACATTTGAATCACGATGCCCTCTGTCTTTTTATCACTCAAAAATAAACACCTTTATTTCCTCATGACACTTTCTAAGTGGTATTGAAAAATATGCATTTTGTCACTTGAATGGCATTTCGATTTATGCATCATCTGCATAAAAATAAAAAGAGATGCCGTGTTTTCAGAGGATTTCTCCAAGAAAAAGATAGAAGTAAAATATTAAAAAGACCAAGAATGGAACCTTGAGGCACTCCAGACCAGCAAGTGGTGCCAGGGGGAATCAACAGCCCCATCAGTACAGTGTTGCTGTAGTGTATCACCATATTGCTAATGACTCTCTGTACTTTGTGTATTTGTGTTCATGTTCTGTGTATATATATATATATATATATATATATATATATATGTTTGCATGTGTGTGTGGGGGGGGGGCAATCGTCTAAATATATATTTTTTTTTTTTTTTTGGGTGTGTGGGGTACAAGAGTGACTCCAACTACCAGGACAAAAATTCCTTGTGCATTTATACCATACTTGATCGATAAAAATTATTCTGATTATACTCATGATTCAGTGGGGATTTGTGACAGTTGAGTTTTGGGGCTTTTTTTCCCGGATGCCAAAAGGTTGATTGAGGCGTGTCTATGTGTGGGAATTAAGGGGATGAGGTGTTCTCACAGTGGTGGCATCGGCAGGTGAGGGTGGGAGAGGGGAATCACACAATGTTCCTGAAAGTGTAGATGGGAATAGTGATATGATATGATATTACAAGTATCGCGATACAGTTAATGATGATACATTGACATGGTCCAACGGAGACCATCATTGTGAATGTTAGCGACATCAGCGGCATTCCGGTCAACATGATCAGCCGATGCCGTGTGATGGCTTCGGAGCGCTTGTGTAAATAAGGTGTGTCTGGACTTGCTCTCACATCGAGAGTGACTGTTGCTGCGCTGTCCGCTTTACTCAGAACACAATAAATCATCTCGTTCAGCCAGTTTGTGTCACTCTCGCATGAGTATGTTCATGTTCAGAGGAAGGGGTAGGGTTATCGATACCATTCAAGGATGACGATTTGGATGATGTCATGTCGTAGCTTTTAGGTTGTATTGCATTTACCTGCCAGCCATTTTAAATATTTTATCCCTTTTAGGTAGTAAAATTATGTCAACAACAGCTCTCAATAAGAGGCCCAGCCAGCTACAACCACAAAGATAACCTATGTTCAGTTTTTTTTTTTTTTTTTTTTTTTTTTACATTTTTTTGAAGAGCAGCACAGGATAGCATGATTATTGTTGGGTATTTTGGCAACTTTTTTAAAAATTGTTGAGAGGAATTCAAAGACGCTAACAAGGCATCCAGGGATTGTTCTGATGTAACGTAATGTACCAGCCTGTGCTTTGGGCTCTTTGTCATTTTTTGAGTCATTTCTGGCCTACATTTTTTTCAAGTACTCGAAAACTGCCATGAATTGCTACGCTATTCCTTGATACTCCTTTTGTGTTGTATACTCGAAGCAGGTGTACATACAGTTGTGACTGGTATGCTTAACTTATGGGTTTATTCACAGTGAAAATATGAATAAACTATTCTTTAATGGCCTTGTCAAAATGTTGCAATATGTAAAGAACAAGCGGCCCTTTCATAAGAGATGCAAATAGTACACTAATTAACTTAGGAAAGTAGTACCAATACCAAAGTCAGTACTGACGTTGCTTAGAACTGTGCAGTATTTGTATAAACCTGATGACAGCTTATGCTCAAGGTGAGATGGTTGTGGTTTGTTCAACAAAAAAAAAGGAACACTTTATAGACATGAAACTTAATGCATGTTATGTAACACTAAACACTGCTCAGCATTCCCAAGTGAAGAAGACGTGCTGTACTTGTACATGACTGAGTGATGTTAGAATGTGGCCTTCATTGCAAAATCAAATCAATCGATTGCTATGAGTTTCTTTTTTGTTTTTGTTTTAATAAATGAATCAGAGTTCTGTTAATTGACGTTGCATAGGCACCAACCTTAATGGTGCTGCACAAGCAGGAAATTGCTTTTCCTCATCATCATCTGATTACGGTGTCGAGAACACGCATAGTGTGAGTCATCTGGCACGTGACGACGTTCAGGTAAGACGTCATCGGCTTCCTAAAAGGTAGAGGAAATAAAAAGCTTGAGGATCATTGAACATAACAAACATAATGCGAAGTGCTGTATCTTTATATAACTCATGAACAATTGTATTTTGTCCAATGTTTGTTGTTGTAAGGGCTCTGCTGCCTGCCCCCCTCTTTCTTCACCGATGACGAGCAGAACCGGTTAGTCTCCTGTCATCTTATCTGCTGCCAGCTGGTCTGACGGGAGGCGTCTCGCTTCCGTCATGTCTCGCAGGTGGCACTGCGCAGGTAAGTCAACCACTCCCAACAAGGCACAAGTTGTATTGGATCTTATGCAGACCTAATAAAGTGGCCTGTGAGTGTCACTCAACACAGTACACATGGAATGACACATTCCATCTTTATACGCAAAGGTGGAACTACTACTTCCTGTCCATCAGTCAGCAGGTGACTTCCCACAAAGCCAGCAGTCTCGTGTCAGGACCGGTTCTACCATGCTAGCCGGCGAAAATCGCATGTGTGTGTGTGTGTGTGTGTGTGCGCGCGCGTAAGACTGGGCCAAAAACTCACTCCACATTGGACCGCTTTCGAATTCAAATCCAAACTGTCACCGAGTTCCACCTGCCTGCACGGACCGTTAAAGAGCGGACACATTCAGACAAAAGCCACGACTCCACTCTTCCTCTGGCAACAATCCCAATGACACTTAACACCATCCGAAGGGATTGTGTTGTGTCAACAGTGTGCCTGTATACATTTACAGGGTGAAGAAAGAATGAAAAGCACATACGGTAGAGCCTTTAGGACACAAATTGCCTGAGAATGAAAAACAGTATTATTCATAAATAAACACTTTTTACCTTCAGGGATTCTTGCTCAGTGTTTAAACACTGTCATCTGTGACCGCTTTGTAGGGGTCTGTTAATTTGGGGCCCCTACAGGTATTCGAGGTGCCACCACCCGACTCAGCGGGGAGCCAAACCACCCCTCACCCGCTTAACAACACGCTTCTCGCGCTGAAATTTCACACGTCCAAGGAGTGCTGGCAGATGCTGGTCCAGGTTCAGGACTCAGTTGAGGCGGGAATTGCGATTTCAAAACAAATCACGTCAAGAAATGTATTGTAAAGTACAAAGTACAAGGAACTGGGTTCTAAATGAATAATTAACAGTTTACATCTCCGCCTAGAGAAATACTTGACATGAGCTATTATTTACGCTTTGGGTTGCCGCCTTTAAATGGGAGCCTGAGGCCCACCGGTTCCCGGCTGTTTCGCACCTCCAAGGGGTGCACCATAACAATGTCAGAGGCCGCTCTTGATGAGGCTGAAACATCTTTTGCCGTTAAAAGTCACACCCTGTCGCTTGTTTTGTCAGCTTTGGGTGCGCGAGGTTAAAACGGGGGGTCCGACCCAAGGGGCTCCAGGTGGTAGGGGCGAGAAGACGATGGAGGAATGGAAACCAAAAAAATAAACTTCAGACGGACAAGAAGCCTCATTGTTTAATGTGCACATTTTGGTTATCAGATTTCTGGAAACTTCCGTACCAAATACAATTGGACTCCAGAAACGTGTACTCGGAAAGAATTACCGGTAACAAAAATATTTATGACAGAAAAAAAAAAACAGGTCGCAAGGCCGACAAAGGACAACAAAATGTTCAATACAAAATTCGTGACTAACAATAACAACAAAAAACTTACAAAGGTAAGCGAAGAGAACTTGGCAGAATCAGAAAACGGAGAATATGATGAGACGTCTAGTATAATTCGGGTCTTGGAAGCAGAGCTGTGACAAGGCGAATTTTCCGACAGAAACATTAACACAGAGAACTTCTTAAGTAGTCGGCTTGATTACATGAACATTAAGTGTGTACCCAGAGGAGAGGCCCTCCTATGTCACCTTCTGGAGATACACAAGACCAGAACATGACTGTGATAAATATGGTCTAAAATTCTCATAAAGTTGTATCCATATTAATGGATATAAAAGCTAAATCTTGCTCCTTATGTTTACAAAATATAGAGCTTTACTGTTTTCTATTTCCTACATGAATGACATCCCAGTGTTAGAACTCATTCAAGGGATTCAAGTAAGTGTGCGTGGTGCAATGCTGCCCCCTACTGCAGGAATGGACGCAAAACAATTCAGGCCAAGTTAGTCAACAAATGTTGACTTACAAGTTGATTTACAGATCTTGATGCTAAAATGTCAAAGCTGGCACATAATGCTGTGTGAGTGAATTTATGCACTTAATAATCAGGGAGGAAACATATAGGCCCTGATATTGGCTGGGTGAAGATAGCTGGGATAGGCTCCAGCACGCCCCACGACCCTTGCGAGGATAAGGCGGATCAGAAAATGGATGGATGGATGGAAAATAGCAAAAATGCCCCTTTTACGATTAAATTAGTAAATAATATAGTATATATAATAAAGAAGCCTCTGGCCTGGCTACGTGTGAGGTGTCAGCAGTTTGACAGAATCTCCTGACAGCTTTTGTAGACTTTAACCAAGCAGTTCAGCCTTGGCCTTGAGCTCTGGAAAACAAAACAAACAAAACCCAAATCAAATATGATCAGTGTTAATGGTTAGAAACTGATCTATTCTTACCTGAAACAATGGCACCACCCTTGACACATCATCAGGAGCTGAGGGGTCCTTCAGCAGTATGCAAAGGTAGTAGATGATTTGATGCTGTGGTAAAACAAACACTTCAGCTTTGTGTTGCATGAAGCACAAAATGTGACAACATCTATTGTCTATGTTTTTAATCACCATATAAATGGCTTCGTTGATGACCACATCCTTGACTTGGCTCATCTCAATGAAGGTGCTCGTCTCCCGTCCCGACGCATAGCTGGAGGATACCTGGATGCCCAAAGAGCCGATAACGAGTACCGACTCGTGGTCTACCTTCACCAAGTGAATATGTAGCATCATTCCCAACAGGGTGAACAGGATGGCGCCAGTGAGCACAGCTGTGTTCTACATGTAGAGGGGAGATGGTGGGTGCATTAATCCTAATTTTCACACAGACGTTGGTATTGAGCGAGACCAATGTAATGGGACTAACACTTCAGCTATTTTACAATGCTCCCCGTGAATACCGAGCTCTTACGCGGCGACAAAAACCCATAAGTAATTGTCATCTCCCCCCAAAAAGGTATAACATTTCCAATAGATGGGACAACATGGAGAGCAGGCCATAATTTTCGATGAGATGGTCGTTTGAGGATAGGAAACTCCTTCGCCCACTTAAACATAGTTCCTTGGCACCAAGACAGTGAGAGTATCACACGCTTCACAAGAGACAGGAGATATGAATTCGGGGATTCTACTAATGATAAGATAGGCAATTTCTGGAGACGATTTTGTGATGATAATAGTTAATGTTTCTTTATTACTTACTGCTGTGATGAAGAACACGGCATAGGCAGCTAGCCAAACGGCGCAAGTGTATCCCATCACCTTGCCGATGGACATTTTGGGCGAGCTGACAGTAAACTCCCGGCAAAAGCTGCAGTGCTTTTGACAGTCCAGAGATATCGGGTTGCCATTAATATCAGTATAGGCTTCATCTTCCATTTTCACCAAAGAAATAACACAATTAGGACTGAAACGAGGCGGTTACCGTCAAGCTACAACTGACAATCAAGGTCACCAGGAATAAACGAACGTTTCATTTTACCACTACGATGGGTTAAGGCAAGCGAAAACAACTTTTATGATTGTTAATAAAGACTGTTTGTTGTTAAAATGCCAGGCAGTACGATATTACAACATTTTATTGACGAATAAAGACGACTGATAGGAAAGACTGGCCAAGCGTCTGATATTTGTTGTTTACACCAAGGCGTCCCAACTACGCCGGAACGACTATTAATCTTGCACACTTACGTAATTATTTGTTAATTACTTCACCAAGCTGTAACAAAAAATAAATAATACAAAATGAACATGTGATGAATTGAAATGTAATTGGAAATAGACGACAAGCTACGTTACAAGATAACAACAATAATTATATCGGTGTACGCTGGGTTTTGTAAGAAGCTACCACGCATGATAGCTGAAAACGCAAAGCATTGTGGGAAAAACTCAACGGTGTTTAAATACAAATTAAATATTACTCGTTAGCAAAAAAAAAAAACGACTCAAAACAAGACGAATAACTACTAGCATAAATACAATATTTTCAATAGAGCAACAATGAGGCAAACACGGTGAGTGTTTGAGCTTAGCATCACTCCTGCTCTCCTACATTTCCCAGTATGCATTGCGCCCTGTCTGACTTCTCAACCCTGAATAAAAACAAGCTGATCAGCTGATGTAAAAGCAACATCTTCTCCTCCCGGGGTCTGACACAGCAATCCAACTTTATCGCCGAGGTTAGTGCGTGGCACCGGGGCGCTATGCTACGTTATTATTAGCCAGCACACACTTTTTAAACTGTGTCGAGCTGGCAGTTTTGTCAAGTCGAGTCATTCGTCGTCGGCTGGGACTGGTAACCGCCGCGAGGTCAGCCGATTGACACGGAGGTTGTTGTTTTCCTACATAATTACTGCTAATTATTATTAATGCAATATTCTCTGAGTGTATGAATAACAATGGTCACAGTATACGTCGTTTACCAACTTGGCATCAACCCATTTAGGTATTAACGAGGTAAAAAGATGTTGGAACATTTTTTGGTTAACACCTAAGCACACTTTTATGGATATATTTTGACTACTTTTTGGAAATGTTGTTTTGATTAAGGTGCTCACGTTACACACAGTAGAATTTGGTGTTATTTGTTGCATAATTGTAAGGTTGCTTGAGTAATCATTTCTGTTAGCCACTTGACCAAGAGAGCACCCGAAGAAAGGATTAAAGCAAACATAAATGGATAAAACACGAAGGAGAGTCTGATTCGATGCTATGAAAAGAGTGCATGAAAACCGGACAAAAGTCATTATTATAGTGATAATTTAGATCATTAGAGCTATTTTCTCGGTCTGAGGAATTGTGCCAAGGTGTGCTGATAGTCGAGTGTAGTCCTCCTTTATCAACGATGAGTAGTCAAAGTCCCGCCGAAGATAAAACCACGAATACACCACTCGTCTGCCAAGAGAGTTACGCATGCGGTGGGTCGGACGAGGCCTCCTTCGAATGTGACGAGTGCAGCAGCCTTCAATGCGCCCGCTGCGAGATGGAGCTCCACCGGCAGGAACGTATGAGGAACCACGACCGGGTTCGCATTGCCCCGGGCCACGTCCCCTTCTGCGACTCGTGCAAAGGGGACGGCGGCGGCGGCTCGGTCACGGCCGGGCGGGTGCGAGCGGCCGTCCGCTGCCAGGGATGCAAAATAAACTTATGCTTGGACTGCCAGAAACGCACCCATAGCGGTGGGAACAAGAGGAAGCACCCTCTCACCCTGTACCCCCAGGCCAAAAGTGCCCAAGAGAACAGCGTCAGCTCCGGCGAGTCTGAACTAGACATCATGAAAGAGCAGCTAGACAAAGTGTGCAGTTTCCTGTTGGTGGATGAAAAAGAGGAGATGCAGGTGAGTTCCTCGACATTCCTCTCTTGATGGATGTGGAGGGAGGGACTAATCTTAGGAGGTTTTTCAGGTGAAGAACGAGGAAGAGTTTGTGAACAGACTGGGATGCGACCCAGACGAGCTACTCAAGGTGGTCTCCATTTTTGGCAACACCGGCGAGGGGAAGTCGCACACGCTGAACCACACCTTCTTTCTTGGAAGGGAAGTGTTCAAAACATCCCCGACACAGGAGTCTTGCACGTTGGGAGTGTGGGCTGCCATGGACCCGCTGCACCACGTGGTTGTCATTGACACGGAAGGACTCCTCGGAGCTGGTAAGATGCAAAATTTTGTGACTTTGAAACCCACTTCTGGTTACGTCCACAAGTATTTGGACACCTTCTGCCTTGCTACACCACCCCAATGGATCAAGATGTGATTGAATTGTGAACTGTTAGATTTCATCAAGACCTTTCAAGCAATATTTTTTCCTCACATTGCAAAACACTCGTGCAAGGGAGCGTAGGCAAAGTTCTGTATTTTATTTTTTTTTGGGGACTCAGGGTCTAGTCAAGGTCAGCGAACCCGCCTGCTCCTCAAAGTCTTGGCCATCTCGGATCTCGTCATCTATCGGACACGCGCTGACCGTCTCCGCGATGACCTTTTCAAATTCCTGGGCGACGCCTCGGAAGCCTACTTGAGGCACTTCGCCCGGGAGCTGAAGGCGACCACCACGCGCTGCGGCCTGGATGTCCCGCTGTCCACCCTGGGCCCTGCGGTCATCATCTTCCACGAGACTGTGCACACCAAACTGTTAGGATCAGGTAGAGTACCAAAAGGAGGCCCTCAACCAGAAACGCATGGCGTTGACGTTTTTGCAATCTGCAGACAAGCCGTCCGAGTCGGCGGACCGCCTCCTTCAAGAGCGTTTCAGGAAGCTGGCTGTGTTCCCAGAGGCCTTCAGCTCCATCCAGTACCGCGGGACTCGTACCTACAACCCACCCACTGACTTCACTGGCTTGCAGCGCAGCCTGGAGCAGCAGCTGGACAACAACGCCACACGCTCGCCCCGTTCCGCCGGCGTCATCTACAAGGCCTTGCAGGTCGGGCAACGCCCGAGTTACCTCTGCCAATGGGTGATGTTAGCCAGAGAGAGTCACTATTGATGACTGCTTGATCTCTTCAGGCGCTGAGTGAGCGTTTCAGTGGCGATAGTCCCAATGAACACATCACCAGTAACTCCTTCTTCCCCGATGAGTACTTCACCTGCTCCTGCATCTGCCTGAGTTGTGGGTATGTACAGTACAGTTATCCTACAGTTAGCTACTGTTCACGGCTACAGGCGTAGAGGAAAAAAAAAACAATATACTGGACCTTCGGGCGTTGCCGAAAGATCACAAAAAACACAAACAGGTTCTATAGAAAAACAATCTGAAAGGTGAATTTGATAATCGTGAGGCATGAAGATGCTGGGGATTACCGAATGTTGTTTTATTTATGTTTGTAGTGCAAAAGATTTTAAAGTGAATGTTTATTTTTAGGTCAGGCTGTAAGAGAAGCATGAACCACCTGAAGGAGGGAGCAGAACACGAAGCCAAGCACCAATGCCGCTACTCGGCGCAGTACGACAACCGCATCTACACGTGCAAGGTGAGCGTTCCATGTTATGCCGCGTTTAATGAGGACGCAAGCGACTACGTTTCTAAAATTTTCCAGGCCTGCTACGAGGGAGGAAAGGAGGTGATCGTGGTTCCCAAGACGACGGCCTCGTCCGACTCGCCATGGTTTGGCTTGGCCGTCTACGCCTGGTCTGGGTGAGTCACAGAAGGAAATTTGATGGGTTGGGTGTAATTGAAAGTGATTTTATATTGACAACGTACCAAACCACACAAACAAATCGAGTCAAGTCAGCGGCATCCGTTAGAGTTGGTGGATTTCCCCCTTGCCAGTACTTCTTCTATAAGAATTATTTCAAAGGCCACAACTCACTGCGGTCTTTTCTTTTTCATCCATATTTTCTTTTTTAGATACGTCATCGAGTGTCCCAATTGTGGAGTGATATATCGAAGCAGGCAGTACTGGTATGGAAACCAGGACCCAGTGGAAACGGTTGTCAGAACCGAGATCCAGCACATCTGGCCGGGGGTGAGGCCATACTCAAGTCAATGTGTTCGCACATTTTGTTGGCCAGCGAGGACTTCTGCCTGCGACACTGACCAGATCGTCCTCATTTCAGTCGGACGGCTTCCTGAAAGACAATCACAACGCCGCCCAGAGGCTGCTGGATGGAGTCAAGTACATCTCCCAGTCGGTGTCGGAGCTCAGCGTCAAGCCGGCCAAAGCGGTCACCTCCTGGCTCACCGACCAGATCGCTCCCACCTACTGGACGCCCAACTCTCTCATCCTGGTATGTACATTTTTTTTCCTGGTGCATGCATTCAAACTTGAATTCCAAGCTCCCCTTAGCTAATTAATGTTGTTGTTTTACATAAACGTCATGATTTTTCTTTCAGAAATGCCACAAATGTGCAGCGGACTTCCAAGCGAACGACACCAAGCACCACTGCCGGGCCTGCGGCGAAGGCTTCTGCGACGCCTGCTCCTCTAAAACCCGCCCGGTCCCCGAGAGAGGCTGGGGGCTGGCACCCGTTCGAGTCTGCGACGGGTGCTTCCAGAACAGAGGAATACCCACTGGTATGCAAAATTTTCCATCCTTTTTCACCGTGATGTACAGGAAGATGGCTGACGCGTGAGTGTCTGGTCTAGAGCTCCTGGATGCGGCCTTGGAGGAGGAAGGCGGCACCTTGATCGCAAGGAAGGTCGGGGAGGCTGTTCAGAACACCCTTGGCGCCGTCGTCGGCGCCATCGACATACCGCTCGGTGAGAAAAAAAAAGACCAAAACGAACAGCCAAGAAACTGAAACAAGTTGTTATCAATGGAGTTCGGTTCCTATGGCGCGCAACACGAACATGCGCGCAACAGTGCGTTTTCAACGATTTTTGTCATACCGCTACACAAGATCGTTGACTGCACGACCCCGAACTACCACGTAGCGATATCATAAACCCAAGACTCCTTGTATTTTAAACCTCCGTGTCTGCCAGGCCTGGTGAAGGAAGCCGCACGTCCCGCCTACTGGGTCCCAGACCAGGACATCCAAGCCTGCTGCGGCTGCCAGCGGGACTTCTCGGCCTCTCGCCTCTCCATCCACCATTGCCGCGCCTGCGGTCAGGGCGTGTGCAAAGACTGCTCGCAGGAGCGGCGTGCCGTCCCCTCCCGGGGTTGGGATCACCCGGTGAGGGTCTGCAGCGTATGCAGCCAGAAGTCCGGGGAACTCTAGCAGGACCTCAAAACCACGTGGACCCCTTTTTGTCTCTGGTTCTTCCATTTTGGGTTTCGGACAGTATTTTTTGTTTTTAACTTTTGGTCAGTCGATGAAATGTGCATATCATGAAGGGAACTTGAGAGAACAGAATCACGTTTTGGACAAATCGCTCTCGAAGATTGAGATTCTTGTTTGGACTATCACATCGCCCCATACTATGTCTTCCTATATTGCTTATCGCGGTCAGAGTTCGGGGTCTGAGAGAAGAGGCATTGACAAACACACAGTCATCCGTAACCACAATTTAGTTGTCACAGTCAGTCATAAGTGGGACTATTTCACAGTATTAGTTAGTATATGTTGGTAACCAACCTGCTGACTACTGTCCTTGCGTTTGGACCTTTTTTTTTAAGTCAACCATCATGGTTTATTGTTGGACTGTAAATGCATTCCAATATACAAAAAAAAATTAAAAATCCGTCCTATCCACGCTGACGCCACCGCAAGCCTTTAGTAGCTAGTTTTAAAAAGGCGGACATCAATCAAAAAGCCTTAATCATGACAAATGGAAATTGAAAAAACAAACGTATACACACGTAACACCTTTTTGTTTACACCGTTGGATGAACTGGTTAGCAATATTGACATTGTTGAGGCTGGACCTTCAAAAATCTCACCACTCACGAGCGACATCACACATGAAATGACTTGAAGCTTAAGTGATCCAAACAAATACAAAGTGTGCTAGAAAAAAGTTCCAGGGCTGGTGTCAGTTCACACACTACAAGTTTTGCCCTTTAGTGTGAGCCAGACGATCGACTAGCCAGAGTTTTTGCAGGCCAAGATGCCTGCTCACGCTGCCTGCCCTGATCATCTGAATGTGGCTGGCCGGAACGAACAGTGCTGTGATGGAGCAACCTCCCTACTCACTTGAACTGGTGCTATGTGATTTTTTTTTTCCCTCTCTCCCTTTTCAAGCTCAAGAGAATCTTCAATGGGACCTATTTTATCTGGATGACATCATGATGACCATTTTTTATTTTCCCCAAGTGTGGCAGAGAAGACAGGGAAAGTGCAATGGACTTGCTTCGATTACATCGAAGCTGGAAATTTGTAGTTTAGATTTGAAATATATTTTGACACTCTTCTGACATGCCCTTTTAAGTATTTTTTTTTTTTGCCAGGGACATGTCCTCCGTACATCTGCCAAGGATACAATAGAATGCGAGAATGTCATTTCCTGAGTTTGCTGGGGTTTAATTTAATGTGCGTTTTTTTTTTTTTTTTTAGAACAATTTAAGAACGTCAGACAAAGCGGGTTTTTTTAAACACAAAACTGCAACGAAGTACTGTATGTAAATTTTCAAAAATGAACATGATACAAAGTTAAAGCAACGCTACAACAAATGCACCATGCTCATGAATTAAACACCAAACATGTCACCTTATGTTTTGTCGTTTTTGATTTGCTTACTCAAGCATACTTGTGTAAAAGTTTCCATCATTCTTCCTGTTATAAAATACAAAGATGGAGCTCTAGAACTTCTTCTTCTCTCTAGCTCTAGAACTACTGAAAATATAAGAAATAACTCTCAGTTTATTGCAGTGGAATTCAACACCACTGCAAACAGAAAAACAAACATATTTGAAATTCTTCGACATTCAATCAGACATCCTGTGACTCGGTCTCATCTGTGTTGTAGGGGAAGTGGTAGAGGTCTTTTTTGACAGCCATAAGCAGGCCCGGGACCCCCGTGCGGCCACCGAGGCCAGAGGAGAAGACCACGCTGGGGATGGCGTCGTTGGCGGCCGGGTGGGGCGACGGGATGGTCCTCAGAAGGTGGCCATCACGCAGGCTCCAGCACCTCGTGTAGCAGTCCTGACCCACTGTGGATGAAGAGAAGAATGTAATTGCAACGCCATGTAAAGTAGCCAAGTACAAATGCTAATATGCTATGCCGTTTTTTTTTTTTTTAAAAACACACGTGTTTGCATATCATCTTAAGTACAGAGTGTGGAGTAATTTTGTCCCCTACCAGCCAAAAGAAGGCCCTCAGGCTCACTGACATGAATGGGGAGGTGGGCATGCTCGTTGTAGTGGCCCCGGTATTGCTGTATTGGCTTCCTGGCCCGGATGTCCCAGAGCTTGATCTGACGTAGAGATCACAGAGTTGTGAAGTTCCTGTGGTCAAGGTGTGATGAATGTGTGATTCCTGACCTGGCCTGACATGTCTGCAGCAAGCAGGTAGTTTTCATCCCGCAGGATGCGCACCGACGTGATGGACGATTCTTGCCTAAAGCTCATCGCCTTGCTGCCTCTGTGCTTGCGTGCGTCGAGGCCGAAAATCTCTCCCGATCGGCAGCCATTGAACAGCAAGGGGACCTGTGTGGATTACTTGTCATGTCAAAGTCAGGTACACGCATACCGACAATTTGGCCAAATTTAACAGCACCCCCGCCCCTTTCACATTTGGTTGATACGTCAACGTATGCATTCTATCTGACACGCCATACAACAATCAAGTTTAAAAAAGACACGCAAACTCACTCTAACACAAAACTGCTGAGCCAAAACGTCGCTGTTGACGCTGATAGTTTGTTTTTTGCCCGTGATGGCTTGTTGCAGGACCACCTGATGAGATAAACCTGCCAATAAACAAAAACATTGAGACCATTAAATTCGACACATGTATACACATTGCTACAAAGTGTCATTTTGACCCAAAAAAAAAAAAAAAAAAAAAAATTGTTTTTTTCTTTTCTTGACACTGACCTACACTAAACCACTTGTCAAACTGCGGATGTAGACACCAAGCACAGCACCAGGCAGTGGGGATCTTAAAATTGCAATGCATCCCTGGCTGATCTGTGGACAGAAGGGGACACTTCATTAGGTACACCTGCACATCCAATCAATGCAAAAAAATAAATAAATAAATCGTTCTACTATAGCTCACTTGAAGTGTACTGAGAGCAATGTCATGATACTTCTAACTCTTTATTTACTAGATAAACAAAGTAACCGGACTATGAGGTTCAGCTCTTGCTATGATGCAGTGTAACTTTGACCCTGCTATAATCCACTATAAAAGGAGGTTCAATGACCGATTTAATATAATAATAATTGTAATTAAAAAGAAAAATTATGTCACTTGAGTCAGTGTTGCTGAACAGCGAGGCGGGAAGCAAAGTGACGTAGCTGGGCCTGTCCACAACACCCACCAGGCACAGTCTAGAAAATTCAGGCTTCAGTTAAGGGGGTACCGGGCTGAGGCAAAACATGAGCAAACAACACATTTCATTCAACAAACACGGGTGGGTCTGCAACATATCCAACCGTGTCAAACGGCGTTTCACTGTACGTCAAACATAAGGCAAAAAAAAGCATTATCAGAGGATACAACACATGAGAGTCCGGATAGCTGACCGAGGCCCAGCAGATGGAATTCACCTGAAACTCATGTAAGAGGGATTGAAAACGCAAAACATTGCTTAATCCCATGTTTGTGACAGCTGAAAATACCCAAATGATACACAATCAATCTGGTTCAATTCATAACAGGCAACCACTCCAAAAAGCCAACTACTTTTGTCTGAGCCACTGAAAAGTCAGTTTTACACGAAATATTCCCTTGAATATTTTCACCTTGCAGTCGGTGATGGAAGGGTTGTCACACGTTTCCACAGACAGAGACCCACTGTTGCTGCTTTTGCTGAAGCTCATGTAGCCGTACTTGCAGCCCCCGTGGGACATGTCGCTGACGGTGAACACTTGCTCACACTTGGAGTCGGCCTGTGAGAGAATAACAATGAAATCCGCTTGCCGTTTTTTTTCGGGGGCGTTCATAGCGGGGAGCTTGCTTCGGCACAGACCACGATGGTCCTAATGTCGTCTGTGCTCTGGTAGTCCAGCTTGCAACGTCTCATGGTGCTGATCCTACACTCGTGAACCCGTCTGAAAGCGGATTGTTGCCAGTGCCATCGGTGAATTACAGATGAAACAAACGGAATGAGAATAATAATTTAAAAAGATATCTGGCAACAGCTCTGATCTCAAGCTGCAATTGCAGACTCCTGACCGCGAACAACTTCCGGCAATGGAGGTCGTGCAGCACATCTTAGGTATAAATTACAACGCAGGGTAAAATCTTTTTTCCAAAATCTTTTAAAAATCAAACATAAACTGACTATGGACACTAATAGTACCTGCAGTAGGACATCTCAGATAACAGCCCAAGGTGTCGATTCTGTAGAATCAAGGAAGCATTGAGCCCTGCCCTCGGTGCTTTCTAGAAGCAAGATAACAAATTTTGGCTCGTTGGATATGCTCCATCTGAAAGGCAATGTACGTTCCAATACTTTTGTGGCCTTGCCATCCTCCGCAAGCATCCGAGCCCTCTCTTTCTCACGTTCCTTATCCTTCAGCTGCTCTCGGGTAAGAGGGTTGCAGTTGTTGTGACCCGGCAACAAGCGGAAGTATCGGTTCTTCTCCGGGTCAAAGTAGAAACCTGGCAGCTCTAATGACGAAAAAGGATCTCGATTTTTACTTGTAGTGTGTGTCAAGATTTAGTCAGGGATCAATCTTACTTTTGGGGATACCTGGTACTGACCTGGCGCTGCGCTGCTGTTTGAGGAAGAAGAGCTGGCTTGGTTGTCAGATCTTATGGAAGAAGGCCCTGCATCACCATTTCTGTTCATTTGAACACAGCATTGGCATGACATTTTAAGAACTGAAATTTGCAGGCACAAAAAACACCCCCACCTGTCGACCCGTGATGGTCTCCACTGTCTTGCCCGGTACCGTCCACGTCCACGGTGCCGAGTGTAACCTTGCTGTTCTCTCCGGTCTCGTTGGCCATCTTTCCAGTTCCACTTTTTCATCTTGCTACTTTAGTCCACCCTGAACGGATGCCACATTGTCTGTTTTGTTTTTGTTGTCACTCCATCTCATTACAACGTGTTCCAGCGTGGAGCTCGCCAAAGTTTGCGGGTTGTCGTGATGCTGCGGCTAATTTAGCAGCAAAGTATAACATTCAAGTAGTGAGTTTCGTTTACCTGTTGGTAAACTGCATGACGTGTAGAAGAACTGGACGTTTTCGTAGTTTCAAATAATTTCCAAGCTTGGAAATTGAGCTTTTCGGCGAGTGAGTTTCCGCCATTTGGTCCCGCCTTGAAAAGATCGTCATTGGTGAATATTTTACAACGATGCGTGACGTAGACAGATTGTATTGGCTGTCTGCTTTTATGGACAATAAAGCTAGGTTTATTTTATTTTTGTAAATACATGACTAATATTTTATTGATTAATTTGACACGTTTCGAATAGATTGTATTGTTTGGGTTTAATAGTGACTGGTCACCATTGGTCGATTGTGAACAGAGTAAATGTCTTAGTAAGCTCCCATCGGCTATTTTCTCTATTGGGTTTTGCTTAAGCATATTGTATTTCTGGTTTATTCATCAGTTCATTATCCCAAAACAATCTAAATTGACACTTCATTACTGTCATATTCATTAACATTTTGTTTATGGATTTACTACCTGAAGTGTATTTTGCATGATTACAATAAGTGACTCGCTCCATGGCCAAGAAAATGCAATCCTACTTATTTTAACAGTATTCCATCCTAAAACGTAAAAACATCTCTTTTTTTAATCACGTTTTACTTGTATTCATTTTGACAGCAGTTTTGAGTGAGGCTGCGCCCACTGGCGCGACGTTGCTGCACACATCGGTTGTGGGTCAAACCGCTCACTCCTCCTCCTTCTCCTCCTCCTCATGTTTTTTGGGTCCCAAACTACATCGAGATTTGGAATACAGTAGTGCGTTACACGTCCTGCTGGAAAATGGCGACTGCAATCCAGAATCCTTTAAAATCGTAAGTAAACGTTTATTATTTACGCGTGTGAGGTTGCACAGGGAGCGATTTTCTGAATGCATAAAAGGGAGTGCATGTGCTTCACGGAAAGCCAAAAAAAACACATTTGAACGATGCTATTGTTAGACCTGGACAATCTGTGCACGCGTGTCTGCAGGTAATGTATGGCATGCCAGTTGATGGATTGCGCAATCATATAAAATGGAATATGATAAACATCCACTCGTTCTTTGAAAAAAAAGTTGTCCACAATACCTTGAGGTTCAACCGAGAAATCCTTTAATCATTGCCAGCATATTAATCACTTTTTATTTTGTACCACACATGCAAACTGAGAGCTCCAAGCATACACGTCTCGATTTAATGTTTTTGTATCGAACCTATTGTGATTAAAAACAAAACGAAACATGGATTTAATTTCCTTTTTACTTTTGCTCTTTTATATACCTTGATAGGTGCAGTTTTGAATAACACAAAAGCAGAGCGCCATTAAAAATCTCCAAATGAAGTCTTTTCAATATGTGGAAAATGAAACAAACAAAAACTCAAGTGAAGAAAACCATGATAACGAGTTTCTTTGTATGTGGTCTTCCTCCAACATTCTAAAAATATGCATGTTGGGTTCACTGATGAACTAGGGGTAATTTAAAATTCTCCACAAGTGTGATTGTGAATGGATCTGGGCAGGTGAAAAGTTTGAGAACCACTAATTTGGTTAGGAATGTCATGACTGCCATGATTCTTATTGCATGATACACGGAATACTTTTTTGTCTTAAAGAGACTTTACCACCTTTGTAAGGATGAGTCGCAAGCTATTCAGAATCTTTCCTGCTTTCCCTCAATGCTGTTTTTCCAGTAGTGCGCTCTCTGTTCTCAGCATTATTTTCACTTTCCTGAATTCCTCAGTCAAAATTAATAGGGGCACGATGACGCAGAGTGAAACACACAGGCTGAACTTTAGCAGACCGGCGACGCTTTAGACTCCTGCGTTTCTGCATAACAGCTTAGTCCGCAGACAGTGTCGAGCTACTGCACTATATGCGCTTGTTTTTGCTTTTGTGAATGTCCGAACAGCAGATTATCCTCCAGAGTCCATCTGTTCTTGTAGGAGGCAAGGAAGAACGATCTGCTGCCGATGCTTGGGTATGGAGGACCCAGGCCAAATTGGAATAATCCTTATTCGTATCTTCACGTTCACTGATACAAACCCGTTGTGTATGCTTGACTATGTGTTAAGATCCTCGTGGAACGTACATCGTGACTTCGAATATTAAGACGAATGGAGAAAGAACCTAGATCCTCCACAAGATTCTAAACTCCTTGGTGGAGGTCGTAACAGAAAGTGATCCAAAATTCCTTGGGGGCTGGAGGGAAGGGGGCGGGGGGGTAGAAGACTCAAGGTTTTTGGGGGGACAATAACAAATATTCAAGTTAAAAAAAAAAAAAAACAGAATGTCATTGTCATTGTTTTAGTCCAGAAAAAAATATATAAATATAAATAGAATGTGTAGTGTAACAATAAACCATCTAACAAATGCATCGTCAAATTTTAGGCTGTTGTTGTTGTTGGCTTTTTTTTAAGCTCACAAAATGTGTCAATAGGAGCTTTTCATTCGACACTGTCTTTCACCGAATGCAAAAGAGAATACAAATGCGCAACATCCCACAGCCTAAATATGATCAAATATGTGATTACGGTGAGCATCCTTAAGCCTCACAACGCATCGTCTGGATCAACATTATTATGAAAGGTTTCCATATTTGCGTGAGGGGGTTGGGCATGGGGGGGGGGACTGTGGGGGTTGTGTAATTTTTATGATGTGTTTGTTTTATATGTTGGGTCGCCGTGTGCCCCACCCCCATAATGCCGTGGTGGAGGATTTGGGGGGGGGGGGTGAGCTGGTGGGGTGGTGTTCAGTCTGGCTGCATGCACTTCATAAATCCATAAAACAGGATGAGGGAACCTTGCCCTGCATCCATCTTTTCCTCCATTTCACCCCATCTGCAGCGGGGACATTTTAAGCCCGCTACATTTCCTCATCAACCCTTTCCCTGATGTCCCTTCTCATCCCCCATCCACCTTTTCCCTTTTGTGTGTTTTTCACCCCCCCCCCCCCCCCCCCCCCCCCCCCCCCCCCCCCCCCCCCACCCCCGCCTACCCTGCGTGTGAGGGTGACATGGGTCGAAAGGGAACACGTGTGCCCCCGAGACATGTCAAACACCCCCCTCCCGACCCAATTTATGTTTTCTTGCTCTGACGACCCCCCCGCCCCAGCCCCAACACACCCACCCCGCTCCTGCTCTGCCTCAGCCTATAACAAGCCCTAAATATTTGCATGAAACTCCGCCATTCCCGGTATTGTGAGGACACAAGCTCACAGTTCCGGTTAATCACCTCGTTTGCCGCTTAAATGGGCTGCAGGGGGACTTGAAAAAGGAAGTAAACAGGAAGGGAGGTTCTTCTGGAGCTGTTTTGGTGTAAAACATCGTGTGAGATTTTTTTACTTTTCATGCTCTGCACATAATAGATTTGTAGGGATGTGAGAAATCACTTTTTTTTTCATACCAGTAGGAGTATTCACTCTTTGAGTATTCACGAATCTAGCTCGTACTTTTGATCAATGACATTTCATTGAACACAATGACAAAAATTTTTGAACCAAGACTTTTCTGTCTGACAAAGATGATGATTCGCCGATGTATCAAACTGCCACTGTCACCGTCAGCAGCAGCTATCATTTTTATTTATTTTAATCATTTTTGCCAAAAGCATATCGCCAGCCACGACGGCGGCTATCCAGAGGCCGAGCCGCAGTGTGTTTGTTTACGGAGTTTGATGCACGGCTCGAGCACGAGGCAGTTTCTCTTCCCGTAGCACCCGACGGTAATTTATCACGGCACTGATGAGTTTACCATCGATTCATTGCTGTTTTGGGAAAAGAGGAACTCAAAACGCTGAAGCGAGGGACATGAATATAACATGTGGCAGACGAGGAAGATTTGAGGTGGTGGAATGATGAGCAGACGTTCACTTCCCCCCCTGCCTTTTCTATCTCATGTCAACTGTGGAAAAACTTCCTGGCAGTTCCAACAGCTTCCACTCTGGTGGTGAAGGCTCACCACAGGATTTTGAGAGTGTGTCTGTGGGAATTTTGTGAGGTCAATCGACATACCAGCTCATCCCAAAAGGTGTCCTTTCTCTGCATAAAACTCATCCGACCATTCCTCGGTGGAATGGAAAAACGCTTTCCCCAAACGTTTCCAGTGTTGTTCAGATTGTCGTCTGCTTCTCATTGGAATGAAAGGATGGATTTACACTGCACAGTTCAAAGGATACGATTCCACCTTTTTGGTCTCAAGAGGCGCAATTCAGTCGATGGGAAAAAAAAAACACACACACATGCAATCGGATAGCTTCCTCTTCCAAACATGGAGAAAAATCCAACATCTGCATCGGCTATCTGCCAGTGCAGCGTACATGTGAGGTTTGACATCATTCGAATATCTCAATTGGTGGGTGACATAGCCATGTTTGTAAAGAAAGGTTACATAAAGGAGCAGAGAACATGCACGAAAAGGGGAAATACAGCGAAATGCAGAAATAAAGCGATCTGAAATGCTCGAGTCGTGCTCGTCTCAGCCTTTTTCCACTGAATATCATTCTAAAACACGTGAAGGCACTCGGGCACACATGCACGGTGACTCACTTATGTAAGAGCGGATGAGGTCGCCCGAGGAAGCATTGAAAGGTGACCCAAGGTCAGGCAGAGGAGAAAATAAGCATCGTTATTTTTCAAAAGGCAGATTTTTTTTTTTTTTTAGGACGTTCTATTCCTGTGGTTGCAACGAAATCCAAAATTGTACGTTAGTCAGAGCGCGGT